AGATCTAATTAACCCACAGACATAAATTAGAATTTGGAAAAGGCAAAGAGCCTTGAGAGTATAAATAACATTAATGGACAGATCTGGATTTTAGCAAAAAGAAAGGAGAAAAATGGAGGGTTGAATCATTAGCCCAAAGAGCCATTTGCTTGAAACAATTTGGACAGAAAATGAGAAAGTAGAGAAGTGACAAACCCACTCAATACAAACTCTAAATTTGGTTTTGGATTTGAAAAGATTGTGGTTTTAAAGGAGATTAAGAGGATGAAATGGAAGCCAAAACATACCGAGGAGATTTGCTTCGTTCAAGTTTCTTCTAACTAATATATCTTAAGCAACTCCAATTAATGAGAGGAGGAATGTAACAAGAGGGAAAAATCAAGAAAAAAGCACTATTTTCTCACTGATAACCTAATCTTGCCTGTGGTGAATGGAATGCGGAACTCTGAGCAGGAAGATTTAATTAACCAATTGCCATAAATCAGAATATGGAAAAGCAGGAGGCAAAGAGAAACATACTGGAGTTTGGCTGTATCCAAGTTTGTTCCAATTAATATATTTTGAGCAACTATAATCAATGAGAAGTAGAAGCTAACAAGGGAAAAAAATAATAAAATCAAGAATCGGGAAAATATGGTTTTTTTTCTGCAAAAGATCAAGATGGCTCCCATTTCTCTCCCTCTTCACATTAGCTGAATTAGCTAAATTTAAGGTGGACCAGAACTTTGAAATAAGAACTGTATAACTTACTGTAACTTTGGAACTGGACATTATGGAAAGGTGGGAATTTGAAGAACTACGTGAAATTATAAAAATATATGCATAAATCATTAAAATCAAGTCTAAATAGAATTTTGAACTCAAAGAAGTAGGAAGTGAAGGAAGAAGTGAAGTAAGAAGAGGGGGGATAATGAAGGGGTAGAAATGACCCAATGGTGAGTGAACCAATTCACCCTTTCCTTTTTCCAATACGCCTCACAGCCCCAAAAACAGGAAGCCAGAGGGATTTTCAAGCCCTAATAGACTTAGGCTGCACTAGATACTTGATCAACCTGACCACAGTCCTAAAACTGCGGATCAGAGCAAAAGGACTGACCCACCCAATCCGGTTTGAACAGGTCTATAGGTCCCTAATTGGGGGAGCCTATGCCACCCACCTGACCGAACCAGTAAGACTAGAGCTAGTGGATCACTGGGAAGTAATTCAATTCAAAATAGCCCCCAAAATGACAGATGCAGTCATACTGGGACTCTCCTGGCTAGACAAGTGGGGACCAACCATCTGGTGGCAAGGGGGTACCCACAAGCTTAGGATAGAAAAGGGGCCCCAACCCCTTTTCCACTAGCAAGCAGAAATGTCACCCAAACAGGGAACCCCCCCCCAAAAAAAGAGCACACCAGAACATCTGGGAGCCACATCCGATGAAACCCCAGAGGTTGAACAGATCCTGAGGGAATATCAGGACGTGACCCGTCAAAACCGCGCTCGACTAAGCCACGGCCGATTAAACCGCGTCGCTGATGTCATCAAGAGGGCGACAACAGCCAACGGGGAGAAAGAAGGGCGCTTTAAATAGCGCTTTGAAAGCAAGCCGATTCAACTTAAGGGTTAGGGTTAGGATTAGGTTTAGGGTTAGGGTTAGGTTAAGGGTTAGGGTTAGGGTTAGGATTAGGTTTGGGGAGTTAGGTTTAGGTTTAGGGGTTAATTTTAGGTTTAGGGTTTACAGCGTGCTTCTGTCTCCGCGCTGTTGTCACCTTGTTGATGACGTCAGTGACGCGGTTTAGTCGGGCGTGGTTTAGTCGAGCGCGGTTTTCTGGTGGAACCATATCAGGACCTTTCCGAAGTATTCAGCGAGGCTGAGTGTGATGTTCTGCCTCCCCACCATGAGGCAGATTGTGCCATTGAAATCATCCCCGGGGCAAAACTGCCCAAATCCAAGCTGTACACCCTGAGGCCCAGGAAATGCAAGAAATGCACAAATACATACACAAAAGCCTAGCACGAGGGTTCATCGAACCAGCCAAGCCACGGGTTGCAGCGCCAGTCCTCTTCAAAGAGAAAAACGACGGAACTATGAGACTGTGTGTGGACTTTCGAGGGATAAATGCCGTGTGTGTACACAACCTATACCCCCCTCGCCCTCATGAAAGATATGCTATCTCACTTGGCCAAGGGAAAAGTCTTCGCCAAATTAGACTTCAGAGAGGCATACTATCGAATACGGATTAAGGAAGGAGATGAGTGGAAAACAGCATTCAACTGCCCCCTAGGGAGCTTCCAATTCAAAGTGATGCCTTTCGGACTACAGGGAGCCCCAGCAGGGTTCATGCAGTTAATAAACGGGGTGCTGCATGAGCACCTCTACAAGGAGGTCCTCATCTACCTGGATAACATCCTCATTTACACTGAGACCATGGACAACCACATACCCCTGCTCCGCCAAGTACTGGAAAAACTCCTGGCAGCCAACTTGTACATCAAGGTATCAAAATGTGAATTCCACTGTGAGCGACTAGACTACCTAGGCTACTGAGTGTCAAATGAGGGAATAGAGATGTACCCAGCCAAAATGCAAGCCGTCCTAAGCTGGCAACCCCCTCACACCCGCAGACAGCTACAAAGCTTCCTAGGGTTCACGAACTTCTCTAGGCAATTCATCCCCTCCTTTGTGAAGATCACCAAATCCCTGAGAGACCTCCTGAAGACAGGGAGTCCAGGAACCAAACATCGCCCGGGACAACCTTTACAGTGGGACCTAAGCTGTCAAAAGGCATTTTAGACACTAAAAGAAATGTTTGCAAAGGAACCAGTTCTGAAACATCCTGACCCCGAGCAACATTTTGTGATCCAAGCAGATGCCAGCGACATGACAGTGGGAGTAACAACCAAGGAAACATACAACCCTGCACCTACACCTCCCGTAAGCTCACAGACACAGACAATGGGCCACATGGGAAAAGGAGGCTTTTGCAGTGAGATAGGCACTGCTAACCTGGAGACAACTGTTGGAAGGGGGCCAGAAACCGTTCGAAGTCTGGACTGACCATAAGAATCTGGAGGCTCTTAGGACCCCACAGAAACTATCACCCAAACAAGTCCGATGGGCTCAATATTTCAACTGCTTCGACTTCATACTAAAACACATTCCAGTGGGGAGGAACTTTCTAGCTGACACCCTCTCCTGAATGCCCCAGTACAAATGTGAATGAGAGCAGGTGGTGGACACCATCGTTCCCTCTACCCAAATAGCTGCCCAAGTGACCAACAGACAACGCCGTGACTGGCATGACCAACCTTGGCTTAGCTTGGCTTTTCATCCAAGCACGATTGGGGGGGCAGAGAGACTGAATGCTGTGGTAAAGTAGTACCTGAGGTGCTACGTTAACTATCAGCAGTCCAATTGGGTAGACCTTCTATCTTTTGCTGAGGCTGCATACAATAATGCTGATCACAGCAGCACAGGACTAACACCATTCAAAGTAGTGAGTGATTGGATTTTGTCCCAATGCCTGAATATCCAAAGGATCTCNCAGTCTTTGGCTAGCTGGAACATACAACTTCCCTCCCACCCAAGCTAAGTTATCTTTCATCAGGCAGCTGGATTTGTGGCTCAAAAACCATTCATTGGTGGGTAAAGCTTATTTAAAAGTTTGGGTGGTGTCATTGTCCGTCAAAGTTTCTTGTTTTGCCTGGGATCTGGTGGTTAGTTTAGTGGCTAGTTGATTGTTTTGTATCATGGGTTTGATTACATCTGGCTTCATACTATTGTATTGCGGTTTTCTGTATAGTGCATCTGCCAGAAAAAAAAATTTCCCTGGGAGATATCTGAGCATAAATTCAAACTGTTTAAAGTACTGAGCCCATCGTACTTGTTTTGGGGAAAGTTTCCTTGGGGTCTTTAAGATTTCTAAATTTTTGTGATCCATCCTGACTTCAAAAGGGATCTTGCTCCCCTCTAGGAAATGCCTCCAGGTTAAAAGGGCCCACCGAACTGCGTAAGCTTCTTTTTCCCAAATGGACCACCTTTGCTCAGTGTCATTCAATTTTTTTGGATGTGTAAGCACATTGTTGTAATTGGTCTTGCTCATTTTTCTGAAGCATGACCACTCCTATTGCCACATCGCTGGATCTGCTTGGATAACGAATGATTTCTCTGTGTCTAGGTGCTGTAGAATTGGCTCTACTGAAAACAGCCATTTAAGTTTTTCAAATGCAGCTTGGCATTCCATTGTCCAGTTCAAAGGCTGCTTCGGTGATGAGGAGACCAATCTGGGCGAAAGTGGGGATAAACTGGTGGTAAAAGTTGGTGAATCCCAGGAAGCTTTGTACTATTTATGTGTTTTGGGTGGTTTCCAATCAAGTACTGCCTGCACTTTTAAAGGATCCATTTCTATGCCCTGGTGTGAAATGCGGTACCCTAAATAATTGATTTTTTCTTGGTGGAATTCACATTTAGAAAGTTTAGCATAAAGTCTGGTAGAGCGGAGTTTGTTCAAAACAGCCCAGACTAGTTTTGCATGTTCTGCTTTGGTCTCAGTATATAGCAAAATGTCATCTAAATATATCAAACACCCCTTTTACAAATACTCATGTAGGACTCTGTTTATTATTTGCATAAACACTGCAGGGGCCCTTTGTAGCCCAAATGGGAGCACTTTGAATTGGTAGCATCCAAGAGGGGCATTAAATGCCATTTTCCATTCATCTTCCACTTTAATTCTGATACAGTAGTAAGCCTCCCTTAAATCGAGGATTACCTGTACAAGATGATGAAACATTGATATACCATTTGCAAAGCAAATCTGAATCATGACCAGTGTCTTTCATAAAATTTCCTACAGCAACAACATCCTTCTCTCTTTAAAAAAAATGTATTTATTAATGTAATATTCAGAGCTGAGTTCTACCTGACTTCTGTATATCTGTTGTTGCCTGCTTTGAATTGAATGTTTTTTAAAAATAGAAAAGATCATAATTTTTGCTCTCAATTGTTCTGCAGGTATCCATAATACTTGGAATAGTTTGTGGTGGTCTAGTGTTTGTGTGCAATGCCATAATGTGGACTTTGTTTGCTAAAGCTTTAAGATATTCCTCCTCCTCAGCTGCAGTAACTGTGACATCAACAACATCCAACTTCATCTTTTCAGTGAGTATAGTGAGACCATATGATTGATGAAAACCCCAAAATGAGACCCTCTCTTTTCTTTTAAGGCAGAATATCATAGTAGCCTTGTATTGCTGTACCACTCTTGAGTGTTCTGAATGATGTGCGAGTAGTCCAAAACCAAATAGTTTTTCCAGATTTAGAAAATCCATTTTGGTGACAGAACATTCTAGAACTGGAACATTTAACACACTCGTACTCTGAATGCACAAATAAGGAGGTTTTAGCAAGCATATGTGAGTTGATAGTATTGGGTGATTTCTTTTGTTAGTCCCTAGCTATTTTCTAAATGGTATATTTAAATCCTAAACTATTGTATAGCCTTTGAATGTTATACACAAAGAACCTTTTGAATATGTCCAAAATACTATTATTGTGCAAATGTCTTAAAGATAATCTATGCATCTTCAGTTTACTGCAGCTGAGAAATTTACACACTGATCAGAGTACAAGTTACTATTGATTAGTCTTCCTCTTGTCTTTTAGGCCTTTTTAGGAAGGCTGTTGTTTGAAGAAATAGATGACCTGTTATGGTGGATCGGAATATCCATTTCTCTCCTTGGACTTCTGTTACTTCACACAGCATCATCTCTACCAGAACAGCAAATCTGTCTGAAGAAGAAAAATAAATAGAATGTAATAGGCTTTTAATTCACAACACAGGAAATGAATAAACAAATAAAACAGGACTCCAGGTTTAGTGGAAATACAGAATTGCCATGATGTCCTTATAGTAGATATTGTTGTGCTGGATACTCAAAATACTTTAATCACACTGAACTACTGCAAAACAACCATAAACAGAATTTTGGAAAAAAGTGACCTTTGAGGATATTTGGTGAATAATTATCACACAATTTACCATGATCAACTGGAATAAAAGATCTTTCACAATTCTTAAGAAAGATATGGTACTAAATGCAATATGTTTCCCCCTTTTCTATGTTAAGCTGACTAATCACCAAGAAAGAGTAAGAAATAAATTGGTAAATAAATGTATGTGAGTTTTTGCGCTAGTCCTATGCCTAATAATATCTCCAGGGTCATAGCTGTTGGATATTTCTCCATCCTCAGAGAGGCCAACTTAATAGGATCTGATTTTGGTTTGTTTTATTGTTAATCTGTGCAAACAAGAACTTCCTTCTTCTAGGGTAGGTTCAAATATAGGCAAGAGAAGTCTGCCTCTTCTTTATGGGGTTCCCTGAGGTCTGCTTTCTCTATTCTACATGAAGCTGCTAGATTGAGTTATCTATAGATATGGGGTTAAGTATTCTCTAGTTGTATATCTCTACTTCTGACTGTTGGACTCAACTCCCAAAATTCTTTATGGCCCATCAGTCTAGAAAATTATTATTGAAAATGTGTATTTACATCTTACCTGTATGTTAGGTAAGCTCCCCATTGGGAGAGCGAGTACGTTCAGAGAAGCGTGTGAGAGTGTTGTTGGAGAACACACAAACCAGCATACAGAGACACTGCAGTTTAAGTAGGCTTTTGCTTTCGTGGAAATAGAGGTATCAGAGTCCATCAAACAGTCCAAGTCATACACAGTTAAGACAGTCGGTCATCAACGACTTTCAGTTAAGGGATAATCCAAATAACATAGTCCATAATCATACAAACAGTCCGGTACACAAAGTTTGCTAGCAGTTGCAAAACTTACAATAGCTCATGTTGATCACAATACGACACTTCTAACAGCCAGCTTCCAAAACGATCAGATCAGCATCTAACAGTGATTCTGGCTCCATCTTATGGCTGCTTGAGGTAACAGCAACCAATCACATTTTACAGCATGATTTAAAGAAGCAGATATAGCATTGTTACATGATTTATATATTGCCAACCCAACCGTTAGGTTATATTCCTAACACTGTAAATACAATACTGTTGACCACACTATAAATCCTTGTACAGACAGTTCAGCATCAATCGTGGTAAAGTTTCCGTAGCTTTACAATTTTGAGAATTTTCTAATTTACTTCATCATAAGATACATCCACAAGTTTTTAAAAGCTGAGTTTTATACTCTGCTCCTAGTAGTTACAGTCAGGATAATGTATTTAATGGTTTGAATTAGATAGTTAGATTATTTAATAATTTCCCCTTCAGTGTCATGAAATAGGTGATACTTTGATGGGCTGTGGGAAATATGCCAAAGCTCTGGAGAGATGTGGATCACCTTTTTCTGCCCTACACTTCTCAGAATGTCCTCTGAGGTCAAGATTCTCTATATAAAAACAAGTAAATTTGATGTACCAAATATGTACTTCAACACCATTTATTTGGAGGGTGTGTTTCTTTTTCTTCCTAATGATAGTATTGCTTATCCAGGGTGGGAAATTGTGTAAAGTTGGTTAGGAAAGTCTCAATATTTATCTAAAATAAATGCAAACTTCCGCATCTATTCTAGCAGTTTCCAAGAAAATCAAGTATAAATATATGAACTGCACATATACAGTGTTTTTCCCCATTCAATCATATCCAGTTCTCAGAGGTTGCCAGAACTAGTCCTTGAAATTTTCTTGGCAAGTATTTTCAAAGTGGTTTGCTATTGCCTCCTACCTAAGGCTATAAGAATGTGACTAGACCAAAGTCAACCAGCTGACTTCATACCTAGGGCGGAACTAAAACTGATGTAGTAGTTAAGGCATCATGTCTCTATACAAAACTATCTCTACACATATGTAGTGGAAAATATAAAAGATATATACATTTTTTATAAGGAAAAAGGAAAACACATCAAAGCCTCACCATAAGAATAAAACAAATAGAACTAATCTAGTTTACCCGAAAACAACTCACTATGTCTCTCCATACCTTGTTATCCTTACAAACTATTTTTCCCTACAGCCATATTCAAACATTGCTTTGTATATTTCCTTTGGTTCTTGAAATATCTTACTATTCTTTGAGAACCTTTTCAACTCTCAATCACAAATTTCTCATTCCTCTTGATACTTCCTGGGTATATGTATTTGTGATTCAGTGTTCATTGTATTTGACCAAACCATCTCTATTGCTTTTGCCTCCCACTGGTCATTCACTTTTGTTTTTTAATTTGTTTTCTTAAAGTGCCATTTGTTTTTTCATCTATTTCTTTATTTTACCAAACATATTTCTTCAATACTCAAGACACTAAATAGGAAGAGTCCATGAACAGAATATACTGTATAATCTTCAACCTCTTTCCTCACTGCTATGCTCTAGTCCTCAAACTACAGCCCACGGACCACATCACCTTCGGGAGCCCTGTGGGCTGGAACTGAAAGGTTTACACTTTACTTAATGTTTACTGTTTTGGTCTGCAGAATGCTTCTGTGGGGGGTGTGGGGTGGAAAGGAAGCCAAAAATGGATGAAAACAGTCCATTTTTGCCCAAAAAATGAGTCATTTTGCNTTTTGTCCCAATGCCTGAATATCCAAAGGATCTCACTTCCTCAGTCAGCTTGACTGACTGGATGTCAATGCTAAAAGCAGCCTGGGAGAATGTGAGAAAAGCGCTAGCTAAAGCAGCACAAACCTATAAGAAACAGGCAGATAAACACTGAGCTCCACAACGACTATGCCTGGTGGGAGAGAAGGTTTACTCTCCACAAAATATTTGAGGTTAAGACTCCCTAGCAAGAAACTTAGAACAAAGTTTGTGGAAACATTCCCCATAGTAAAGATCATCAACCCAGTCTCAGTGCAATTGAAACTGCCCCGACTGCTAGGGAAGGTACACCCAGTATTCCATAGTAGCCTCTTAAAACCCGTGGTTGGATCCACTCTGACACCACTGCCCTGGGAGCTCCCAGGCCCTGTAGTTATAGGGGGCCAAACCCATTATGAGGTGCAACGCATCCTTGATTCAAGGTGGCACAGGAGGCAGCTCCAATACTTAATTAAATGGAAGGGCTATTCCTTGTCAGAGGCATCTTGGGTAAAGAGTAGAAATATCCAGGCTGATCACATTATAGAGAGATTCCATGAAAAAAATCCAAACAAGCCTTGGGGGAAGACGCAATCTTGAATCCCATACTGGTACTCAAATTATTTTTGCTTGCACAGATTGCCTTTGAAAAGTGCGGGGAGCCGGATGTCAACTCTCTGTGTTGCCATTCCATGCAGAACGGCAGCAGAGCCGAATCTCAGATTACAGTAGCTGGGTTGAAATGAATGAAGCTATTGGATAACATGATTTATGACAAGCTGAAGGGAGGACAGGAACACTGGCAAAGTTCAAAAGCAGATAAAGAAAGCAAAAAAAGATGGCTGCGAATAAGAAATGCCTAATGAAGAATGTCTAATGAAGCTGTTAATAAATCACTGCTTTTTTATTACCATATTGGGTCACTTATTATGAAGCAGGCATCATTAGGGTACTTTACAGCAGGCTTCAGTCGAAGAGATTTGCAGGGCGGCGATGTGGTCCTCCCCATTAACCTTCGTCAGACACTACAGACTGGACATGTTCACCTCGGCCAAGGCATCTTTTGGGCCAAAACTACTGCTGAGGGTTCATTCGGCTTCCAGGACCCTGGACCAGTCCACTTCCCGCCCTTGAGACATTAAGTTTGGATATATCCCATGCTTGAATTCTCCAAGCAGTGCACAGGAGAAAGACTGTTGTCTTACCTGAAAGGTTGTTCTCTGTGTGCTGCGGGAGAATCCAACCCCACCCTTGTGACCAATCTGGTTCAGGGTTAGGAGAGGACCTTACTTTCAATATTTCCATCTCTATTGACTGACTGTGCCTTCGTTGAAAAAACTGAGTTCTGTCAAGCAGGGGAGGCATGGTCAAGATTTTTTCTAACTCAGTCTCTGGGCAAACAGATAAAAGTTAACCCATGCTTGGATTCTCCCACAGTGCACAAAGAACAACCTTTCAGTAAGACAATAGTCTTTTAAAGGATTTTTTAATTACAATTGAAAGTACCTTTGTTTTGTTAAATTAAATTAAATTACTTGTCTGTTCCCATATCTTAGGCCATTTCTTTATATAAATTCTATACTTTTTGCTTTTTCATTCCTGCCTAAACCAGTAACCATCCCACTGGAGAGGTTAGGGAAACATGCAAATCTGAAGTTCCCTTTTCCTTTTCCCTACCCGACATATGTCTCTTATCAGTTTGGGATGTACACATACACCCAAGGAAATGACCTAAGTGAGATATGTAGTGTCTCTATTTTTACCGGCCGTTCTGCTTTCAAGCCTTTTAGGACTGCTATATTTGGAGCAGTATGGACACCTCCTTTCAACTAGCAGTTTTAAAGTATTAAAAAGATACTGGTTTCTCCATCTCCCTCCCTGCCTCCCCCTCCATACA